GGACTAATTAGACATGTGTGTTGTGTATCCCCAGGAAAAGTCTTATCACACGATAGTAACCTGTCTCCTGAAGAATCTAAGGTGGAGAGAATGATTAATGACATCATGTCCAAGTTCACAGAGCTTGTTAGTGACAGAGCCTTTCCTAGAAACAAAACCACAAGTTTTAGAAAACATGCATACTGGCCTTCCCACATAGATAAATTGTTCCTATTGGGCTGCAGAGAGATGGCTTAGCCATTAAAGGCTAGGCTCACAACCAAACATATAAATTGTTTCTATCACCATTTTCCTTGTGTTTGCATTAAAATAATCTAACATGATGAAACACGTGCTATGTTTCCAAGAGCAAACTGGGAGGAGTTGACTATTACTAGTAACATGCCAGTGGTTTAGTAAAATAAATCTGATCTACTAAGAGATGAAGTAAGAAAATGGAATTGTACCTTTTGTTCTCAATTTTATTGTATTTCTTAACTTTGGTCTTGCAAAGTCATTGTTTTCAAGGCAGAAAAAGCATAGGCATTTCTTGCTGATTCTAAGAGCATTAGCTTGTTTGAAAGGTAACACAGATGTCTTCTTCATCAATTTAGTTTAACCAATGACAAGACATCAAATCAAAGGCAGGAGCCTTTCCAACCTGCTACCTTACTTTTTACTTAGAAAAGCCTGGGATGCCAGCATGATGCACTTCCTCCAATTCTCATCATCCTTTCTGTCTGTCTCAGGAGTGAGAATGCTATAAAAATCAACCAGGAAAAGAGATTTTCTGTTCTATCTCATTGTCTATTCTTCATAGCAATCACACACATATTCATTCAAAACAACATCAAGTGGATTCAAAATCACAGACATCATGTACACCTATAACCTCAGCACTCAAAAAGCTAAGGAGCAAGAGTTGGGAGCTCAAGGCCAACCTAGACTAAATAGGGTGAGCTGCACAGTGAGACTCTGCCTCACAACAGACAGACAGACAAAAAAGCCTCAATGACTGGGGATACAGCTCAGTAGCAGAGTGTCTGTGCAGCATATATGAGACCCTGGGTTCAATCCCTAGCAGTGACAAATAATCAAGCATGTATGAATAACCCCTACAGGAACCCAGGCTTCTCCTTATCATGGGAATTTTAAATTACATAAAGTTCTCAGTCCTCTCTCCAACAAATAATGCAGAATGGTGACAGAAGTACAGGAACCTTTTATGCCAAGTAGAGTTTGTTCTAAGAAAAGATCTGCCTTCTGGTAGAAAATGCTTTTCTCTTAAGTATTCCTTTCCTAAAATACAATTCATAGCACTGCTTCGTGAGGTTGTTTTGTTTTGTTTTGTTTTTTTGTTTCCCAACAATCACATGCCTGAGAAGCAAGCTATAGTAGATGTAAACAAAACAGATGTTTAGACCTTCTGACCTCTGGAGGGAGGTCACTTATATCTCTGTTCACAGCCAGTTCTAGCTTCTCCAAGCTGGCACAGTTGCTCAGTTCTTTGGGGACAGTCTTGATTTTGTTGTAGCTAAGGATCAGTTCCTGCAGTCTGGTGAGCAGTCCTGCACAATAACAACAACAACAACAACAAATAATAATAACACCACACAATAGGAAGAAGGTGGACTTAGTGTTTCCTCTCACTAAGTGCTGCTTACATTCCTTATGTACATAATGACAAATTCAGTTATTCTCTTCCCTCCTCTCTTTTTTTTAAATAATTTATTTAATTTAATTTTATTTTATATGCATTGGTGTGAAGGTATCAGATCCCCTGGAAAATAATTTATTTAATTTTATTTTATATGCATTGGTGTGAAGGTATCAGATCCCCTGGAACTGGAGTTACAGACAGTTTTAAGATGCCATGTGGGTGCCGGGAATTGATGAACCCAGGTCCTCTGGAAGAGCACTCAGTGCTCTTAACCTCTGAGCCCTCTCTCCAGCCCCACCCTCTTCTCATCTCTAAACCAGGGGCAAGTTTATCATGCTGTAGGAGGAGAGGCAGTGGTATTTTCATTCTGCTTTATCTATACCACGTATCCTGGATCAAGGTGGCTGTGGATGGTACAGACCCTGCCTAGCATGTACCAGACCTTGGGTGAAGGGAAACAAGCCCACCCTGTGGCTCTGGCAGGCCTTAACCCTTCTTCCCAATTCCCTCTGCCTTGCTAAAAACTGTTAAGATTACATTCCTGCCGGGCAGTAGTGATGCTTGCCTTTAATCCCAGCACTTGGAAGGCAGAGACAGGAGGACCTCTATGAGTTCGAGGCCAGCCTGGTCTACTGAGAGAGTTCCAGAACAGCCTCCAAAGCTACACAGGAAACCCTGTTTTGAAAAACCGAAGGAGAAGGGGGATTACATTCCTGTAGCTAGCCACCAAGGTCTATTCCCTTATTTGGCCACTTCCTCCTGAGGCTAACTACCAAAGCCAGCAATCAAAAGCCCCCTTTGGTTCACCTAGTCAACATGTCCAATTAAAAGTAAACACCTCTTCCTAACATGAAGTTTCTCCCTTTACCTTTATAAACCACCATTTGCCTAGGGGCCACGTCTGTCTCCTCTCTGGAGACAGTCCTTTGTTCCTCCAGGACAAATACCCCTGCCCTTTTCTCTTGTTCCTTCCCCTTCTCCCGAATTCCCTATCTCCTTTACCACAGCCTCCTAGCCCATTCTAACATAGACACCCCCTTATTCTCTTAAGAATTGCACCCACAGGGTCATTCGCTGCTGTTTTTCTGTCTGAGTCAGAAGGCGGCCACTTTACCATTTCTTGCCCTCTTAATAAAGGATCTCTCGGTGAAACAGGTGTTTGGGTGGGGGTTGTGTTTAATCCGGGTATGGGAGTGAGCCCTCGCTGTGGGGGAGTCCCCTTCACTGGCCTTGATCTCCAACATAAAACCCCCAACAGAACACTACATCCTAAGCAATTTTTCATTTGGGAGCATTTCCCCACTGTCTAATGAGTCCCCCCCCCCTTTTTTGCCTTTATGTATTCTTAAAATAATAAGTAAAACAACAATAATTGTTTT